ATAAAATTAAATACAAGAGATTACAAAAGAAATCAATTATATTGAAATACAAAATTTGAAAATACTGAAATTCAAAGTTATCAAAAAATATTTTTAAAAATAAATTCATGGATCTCAGGTTAAGAACACCTATGGGTCTAAAAGTTACTTGCTATGGAACAATTACCAAGTCACTTAACTTGTCATCATTATCCATAAAATGGGGACATAATACCAACTGTGAGAACTTCCTCCCAGGATTGTTGTGGGGATCAAATAAAATAATGTAGATAAAAGTGGTTTGCAAAACTCTCAGGTGCTTTATCTAATGCCTGCTGCTACTATTAGCCAAGTTGCCTCCACCCAAGAGAGAGGGTGGGCAGCCCCTGGGACTACTTAAGAGAATTACACTTTTTTTGTTCTGTAGATACTAATGACAGGTTTCACTCAATTTTTGGCCTTCATTGGCCTCAGACTTTGCATACAGGGTTCCAGCTATTTGGTTATGCACTGAATCTGTGATTCTAAGTCTCATTCCACAGCCCAAAGTCACCATCCTATGCTACCTGGAAAGAAGCCAGGTAAATAAATACTGGTGGATGATAACTGCTCTCTGCACTCCCAGCTGGACCTTCAAGTCAGCTGGAGGGGTCCTAACCTGAAGCTATTTGGTTGGATTGAGATTTTACTGTTCTGAAATATATTCAGAGGGCTCAGAATAGGCCCCAGTCTTTTGGAGCACCATGGGACCATGGAGCACAGATTGTGCAAATTCACAGTAGCTTCTCCAGGAGGCTGGAGTTATAATTGTGTCTGGCTGGTGAGAGACAGAGACAGATTTTGGCTGAAGTCACCAAACCCTCCCACTGCTCTTCTCTGCAGTGGAACCAGCTTAAAGCAACAGAGCTCTGAGATTTCAGGTCAGAGTGGGCAGGACCTCTCCAGCTAGGTAAGGAGGGAATAGTGAATTGAGAGCTGTGCAACCTTCTTAGGCAAAAAGGTTGGCGTCGTCTATCTTCAGACCTAGAAGAAAGTGGCGACAGAAACTCTATCCTTCTTTGCCTGGCTATGTTTAGAAGGAAATTACCATTCATTAGTCCCCCTGTGATTCAATGGTCTTCCTTGGAGTAAACAAAGTGCTCACCAATGAGGATAGAAAAAACTTTCCAAGTCCCAGGGACCCAAGAGCTCATCTCTTCTTGTGTCATTTCAATAAGCGGAGGTGGATTCTCACCACCAGCTAGTTCTGCCTGTCAGATAGAGTCACAAGTGAGTCCAGACGCTAACCAACCCAGGCAGAAAAACTGGTTTGGGGGTGAGTGGGGGTTGGGGTGGAAAGCAACTCCTAGGGACATGGGCGTAGGCTTTGTGGGCACTTAATATCCCATGTGACACTTTTGGGTACTCGAGGAGTGTAAGCAGCCCATGGCAGCTCGTGACTTACAGGAAGGCAGGGTATCATTTTATTAATTAACAAGCAAGGGAGTGTAATATATAATTTGCCCATCAGGTGGCTTTATACTCAAGCCACTAGCCCAGTGATTTCATCAAGGTCTCTCTGACACACAGATCATTGAGTCTCCACTTTCCTTTCTCCCCCCACCCAAGCTGGGTTTCATGGCTGATAAGTTTAAGGAGAAAAACCCTACAATGTCAGATTCAAAACGGATAGAGGGTATGAAATGCATATGGCCATAAAATTACTTAAAATAAGGGGGCAGCTAGATGGTACAGTGGACAGAGCTCTACCCTTGAAGTCAGGAGGACCTGAGTTCAAATTCGGCCTCAGAGACTCTGTGACCCTGGGCAAATCACTTAACCCCTACTGCCTCACCAAAAAGCAAACAAATAAATAAAACATAAAATTACTTAAAATCTCTGACTTACTACTTTCTCACCCCTTACACGAGAAAGTCCTTGCTCTCTTTTTGATCAACCACCACATTCAGCAGACAAAGGTACTGAATTTACAGTAGTTTAGTTTATTTAATATACCCAGCTCTGCCTCTTCTTTTTATGTTATTTACCCCAGGAAAATGGCTAAGCACTCCTCCATGGAACATTCTACCCAATCAGCTCTCAAAGATTTGCCCTTCCAGATTTCCTTTTGGAGTGCTCCAGGGTAAGTTTCAAAGAACTTGGCCTTTCTTCTTCCACCCTTCACCCCCTCAAGTGGTAGGTAGTGAGGAAGATCTTGGGAAGTTGGTTGGCCATGGGTTTGGCTCTGCGGGCAAGGGAGGAGCAGCAGTTTAGGGAGGTGACTCAGTTTCCCTGCCTTCTCGCCAGCCCGGCTACAGGTCTGATCTTGTCTCTATGATCCCCATCATCTGCTTTCTGGAGCTAGCTTTCTCTGACACTGGTCCTTGTCTTCTGGTCCAGGGCATCATAGATAGAGGGAGTACTGATTAGCTCATGGGGTAATAGATTTAGAGGTGGAAGGGACCATCTTCTAGTCCAGTCCCACCATTTTACAGATGAGAAAACTGAAGCCAAGAGAAGGAAAGTGATTCGCCAAAGTTCTCACTGATAATGTTTTAGAGACAGGATTTGAACCTGGTTCTGACCACTGAAGTTTCAGAATGTCATAGTCAGGCAAATCAACTGCTACTTATCCCTGTGCTGGGCGAGGAGTTTCAGCAGACTTGTAGTGATTTTCTGTTCTCCATATACCACATACAGCAGTGTGCTGATAAATATTTAACTTCCAGCTATCTGTGTGCAGGACACACTTTTAAATGGTGACTTTGTGTAACTCTGCCTCACTTAAATCCAGTTCACTGACAAATCAAGACATCACCTGTTATGTCATTGGTCTTCTTCGAAAACAAAGGATGAATGAATAGCAGTAACATTTCCCCTACCATTTTTTTAAAAGTCCAAACAATCAACAAACAGTAAATTGACCCCTGATTTATAGCTTGCCAATTTCCAAGGTGTAAATGCACACCCTGAACATTTAACAATTGGCTCTTGCAACTTAGTTCAGGCTGGCTCTCGCTCTCTGCCCCAGCCCCCCCGAGGAATGGAAGTCTTTCTCCTAGGCAGAGAAAGGAAGGGGAGATCTCATTCCCCTCCTCCAATCTCTTGGCTGTCTGTTCCAGAGCATGTATATCTTGTGTCTACAATGTCTACACTGTCTCCCTGTAAGCTTGCACTTCCTTAAAACTCAGTGAATTAGAAGGGCATGTGGTGGGAAGTGGGGGGGGGCAGAAGTGCTCTCTGTTCCCCAAATTACCATCGATCACCCTGAGCCCTGGGGTAAGTAAAAACATAAAGAAAAGAGGCAGAGCCTGGGCATAGGTTATGTCTTGATTAGGGAGGACACCTTTTCCTTCCTGTAAAGTCTTATCTTAGATGCATACATTATTTGGACTGGGCTGGTTTTCATGGGTTTGAGGATGGCTCTCATATCAGGAAGTAAAAGGTAAGATCATGCCAAGAGCAGCTGATTCACCGTCAGACAATCTCAGTATCCCAGCTCTGCCACTTTTTGTCTGGGTCACCTCATGCAAATCACTTTAAGACCTCAGTTCCTCATCGATAAAATGAGGGGATTAGACTAAATGAACTCTAAGGTCTCTCAGCCTAAAGTCTGTGATCCTTCTAATGAATTAGTCATGTTTAGCTAAACCATGGGGACCCCAGGACCATGTTTCTTAGCAGAGACATTTCCTGCTGCTATTCATCATCTTGTCTTTACACTGTTTTCATTCATTTAAAATATTTTTTTTTTGCATATGAAAACCTAATTCTATAACCTGTCATTTAATTAGGTGTTCTAATGCTTCTTGTATTCTAAAGAGTACATTTAATCCCATTTTGCATATACATGAACTGAATCAACCACCCTTTGGGCTGTATCTGTGGCATTCCCCATAGGCAATGGCAATGACCACAATCAATTATTAAATTTCTTCTGTGTGCAGAACAACATGTTAAAAACTGAGGAAACACGAAGTCATAAAGGTTCACCTCTGAATTCAAGGGAGAGTCACACAGATCACACAAACACACATGTATATTTACCTAGTTTTCTGCATTTTAGCAAAGGAAATAGAGAGTCAGCCTGGATTCATCTCATTTCTGACACATACCAGCTGTATGACCACAGGCAAGTCACGTCACCCCTTAGCGTCCCAGGTAAGTTTCTAATACTATATATAAGTTGCAAAAAGAGTTGCCTATCTTCATTGGTAGAGGGATTTCCTGCCTAGGAATTCCTTATGCCAATGAAATCATAGATCCGGTGAAAAAAATTTTGATACAGTAGCATTTTTTATTGCTATAGAACATTTGCTAGCTTGTGATTTGGATACCCTGGGTCCTTTTTGTCTTGATTCTAGGTCATTTGACAGTATAAGTGATGTCCAGCTCCGCCCACACTGCACCTTGGTTTTGAGTGGTCCATTTTCCTGGGGTATTACTTTGTACTACAGGATTAAACAAATTTCTCAGGTGCCCCTTTATATGTATACTACTATAGGAGGAGAAAACTTTATGCATCTATAGCAGCCAATGCAAAGCAAGGCAGATGAGGCACACCAGGATTGACTGAATTTCTTTGGGTATACCTATGGATTCATCACCATTATCATTGTTCCTTTCTATGGAAAGAACCTTCATTTGGAAGGAAGGACCTTCTAAAAGAGGTACTATTGTCTTCCCCTTCTCCCCACAGCCCGTTAGGAAAGAGACCAAGTCTAACCAAACTATTCCAACAGTTTAAATAAAACTATGTCCTCAAAGAGTTTATAGCCTTGTAGGAAGATATAAACAGATTACTACCGTGCACACCAACACAGTGATATCATTCTGGTTCTTTTCGAGTATGAAGGACCACAACTAACCAACCAGCTTTTTTGTGGCCATATCATGCTTCCTTGATATAATAAAATGTACAGACTTTCACAATTTTTAAAATGCTCTCACACGCATGAGTAATTGAGCTAGGTCCTGTTACTCCAAGGTGTAAGATGAGGGTTAAAAAACAACAACAAATGAAACAAAACATTACATGGGTTTAATGAGCAGATACATGGGCAAATCTCAAGTTTGCTCAGATGATGTCTCTCCTAGGGAACTAGGAGAACTAACTGCTTCCAGAGCATTGTGATAATGTACAAGGGAAATACCTTGGAGACACTAGGAAATATGCATGGCTATTCTGTTACTGGTTCTCTTTGGCTAACCATGTGGTTAAGAGGAGATCTTTTCTATTGGCCCTCATAGCCAGAATGACGAATCATCAGCTGGCCTGGGTACTTCCTTAAAATGGAAGTTCTTGGAGCAATTCACCAATGAGAAGAAAAGGTTACAGGGGCAGAGGCATCTTCCGGAGGGAGAAGGCTTCTGGGGAATGGTGAAGAAGTCTAGATAATCAGAAGTGGATAAAGTTTGTTTATTTTATTAAATAAAAGAATGTTTAAAATTATTTTATTTTATATTTATCTCATAATGTATATATCATTACAGTAGTATATGTGCATAATTTAGAAATATATGCATCTATTGGCAATGTATATTCAAAAAAATTTTATTGATAGGGGTGCATGATCAAAACCAGTTGAAGATGACTGGTTTAAGAAGGCCCATATCATACTTTGACTATCTGACTTTTGAGACCATTTTGTTCTGCTCTGTAGCCACTGATGGTCCATCAGCTATCTGACACAAGAATGTTGTCACTAACAAAAGGTAAAAGATGAAGGAAAACTACTCCTTAAAAATTTATTCAATGTATTATAGTTCTTCCTCTCTCCAGTTCATCCTCAGTAGCAACAGAAGATTAAGCTAATTAAAGCATAAAAGCATGCATCTGCTTATCTCTACTGCCCAAAAATCTTCAGTGGTTCCCCAGTACTTACCATACCAAGTCATTCACTGCACAAAATCTGGCTTTAACCTCTTCTTCAAAATTTCTCACACTCAGGATTCCATTTCCAGGAGCTAAGATAGTGGAGTAAGAAGTAAGTTGCTCTTACCATCCCTTATTAACCTCTGAAAGTCCAGAAAATATCACCCCAGGAAAAACCCTGGAACAAGTGAACCAGAGGAAAGACAGGGTACAGCAGTCAAGTAGCCCAAGTACCTTGAGGGATTAACGGGAAAGGCCTTTCTTGCCCTGGGAGATGGGGAGCAGTACAGAACTGGAGGCATCCCAGCAAGCTAGCAGAAAGCCCCACCTCACCATACCAGGAGGAGATCCTGAAACCCGGGTGGTGGAGTAGGCAAACACCAACACCAAGATCCCCAAGTGCCTCAGTAAGGGCAGGGGAACCAGTGGAAAAGAGCTTATGAAACCATCACATGCTTCAGCATTCTATGGCAACCAAGTCTCCCAGTGCCTGAGCAACACTCTGAGAAGTGCTCCAAGGGGCCCCAGGCAGAGAAACATCCTATAACATCCATCTGAAAGCAGCTGAAGAAAGCAAAAGGAAGGAAAGGCCAGGGTGAGGAAGCAACCTCCAGGGGGCCACACTACCCAATCCTACCCCTGGAGTTCCAGTGTTGCTGATTCCAGCCCAACACCAGGTAAACTGCCAGAACCTTAAAGCCTCCAACTGCCAGCATTGGAGGCCCCAGCATACAAAGCCAGTGACCAGGCCCTAGGCTCCCAACACAAGAAGCTTGAGTCAGTGCCTCCTGCTCCCCAGCAGGAGAGCTCAATCTCTTTAAAGGCCAGGAAATAAGCAAACACCATGAGCAAAAAGAAACATATGATAGATTCTTATTATGGGAAGAGAGAAGATCAAGGCAGAAATTGTCAACAAACCCACATCTGGAACCTCAAAAGGGAATATAAACTGCTCTGAAGCCCAAAAAGCCTTCTTGGAAGAGCTCAAGAAGGATTTCAAAAGTCAAATGAGAGAGGTAGAAGAAAAAATGGGAAAAAAAATGAGAGGTATGCAAGAGAGAGTCAATAGTTTGGAAAAAGAAGGACAAAATTTAAATGTAGTCCTTAAAAGTCCTTAAAAAATACAATTGGCCAACTGGGAAAAAAAAAAGTACACTGAAGAAAACAAGCCCCCCCAAAATACAATTGGCCAAATGGAGAAGGACATACAAAATCTAATAGAAGAAAACAATTTCTTAAAAATTAGAATTGGGCAAATGGAAGCTAATGACTCTATGAGAGAGCAAGAATCAGTCAAACAGAAACAAAAGAATGAAAAAATAAATGAAAACATAAAATACCTCATTGGTAAAACAACTGACCTGTAAAATAGATCCAGAGGAGACAATTTAAAAATTATTGGTCTACTTGAAAATCACAGTGAAAAAAAGAGACTGGACAGCATCTTTCAGGAAATCATCAAGGAAAACTGCCCTGAAGTCCTAGAACCAGAGGGTAAAATAGCCATAGAAAGAATTTCACCAATCACCTCCTGAAAGATATCCCAAATTGAAAACTCCAAGGAATATAGTAGCCAAATTCCAAAATTACCAGGTCAAAGAGAAAATACTACAAGCAGCTAGAAAGAAACAATTTAAATATTGTGGAACCACAGTCAGTATTACTCAGGACCTTGTAGCTTCTACATTAAAAGATCATAGGGTGTGGAATGTGATATTCCGTAAGGCAAAGGAGATTGGATTACAACCAAGGATCAACTACCCAGCAAAAATGAGCATGATCTTTCAGGGGAGGAGCTGGATATTCAGTGAAATAGGGGACTTCCAAACTTTCCTGATAAAAAGACCAGAGCTCAACAGAAAATTTGGTCTTCAAATACAAGACTCAAGAGAGACATAAAAAGTTAAACAGGACAGAAAAAAACAACAACATGTTATTAATAAGGGCAAACTGTTTACATCCCTACAAGGGAAGATGACACTTGTAACCCCTGAGATCTGTATTGTTATTACGCCATGTTAAAGAGGTATACACAGACGGGTGGGTATAAGTTGACTTTGATGCAGTGATAAAAAAAAATCTAATCAAGTGGGTTAAATGGATCCAAGTAAGTGGATTAATCTGATCTAATTAAGAAAATGTTCTGAGAGAAAAGGGAAGGAGGAAGCAGACAAGGGTAAATTACATTACAGAAAAAGGCACAAAAACCTATTACAGTAGAGGGAAAGAAAGGAAGGAGAAGAACATTGTTTAAACTTTACTTTCATCAGATGTGGCTCAAGAAGGGAATAACATAATCAGTTCGGTATAGAAATCTAACTTGCCGTATAGGCAGTAGGAGGGAAAAGGGGAAAGAAAAGGGAGGGGGCTAATAGAAGGGAGGTAGAACTAAGGAAGGCAGTGGTCAAAAGCAAAACACTAGTGAGGAGGGAAAAGGAGAAAGGAGAAACACATAAACAGGGGTGAAATAGGATGGACAAAAAGACACAGATAGTAATCGTAACTGTGAATGTGAATGGGATGAACTCTACCATAAAACAGAAGTGGATAGCAGAATGGATTAAAAACCATAATCCTACAATATGTTGTTTACAGGAAACACATTTGAAAAAGAGTGACACATACAGGGTAAAGGTAAAAGGCTGGAGCAGAATATATTATGCTTCAGCTGAAGTAAAAAAAGCAGGGGTAGCAATCCTGATCTCAGACAAAGCAAAAGCAAAAATAGATCTAATCAAAAGAGATAAGGAAGGAAACTACATCCTGCTAAAAGGCACCATAGACAATGAAGTAATATCATTACTAAACATATATGCACCAAATGGTATAGCATCCAAATTCTTAGAGGAGAAGTTCAGGGAGTTACAGGAAGAAATAGACAGCAAAACTATACTAGTGGGGGACCTCAACCTCCCCTCTCTGAACTAGATAAATCTAACCACAAGAAAAGAAGTTAAGGAGGTGAATAGAACATTAGAAAAGTTAGGTATGATAGACCTCTGGAGAAAACTGAATGGAGATAGAAAGGAATATACTTTTTTCTCGCAGTACATGGCACATACACAAAAATTGACCATGTACTAGGGCATAAAAACCTCACAATCCAATGCAGAAAGGCAGAAATATTAAATGCATCCTTTTCAGATCATGATGCAATAAAAATTATATGTAATAAAGGGCCATGGAAAGATAGACTAAAAAATAATTGGAAACTAAATAATCTAATCCTAAAAAATGATTGGGTCAAACAACAAATCATAGAAACAATCAATAATTTCATTCAAGAGAATGACAATAATGAGACAACATACCAAAACTTATGGGATGCAGTGAAAGCAGTTCTTAGGGGAAGTTTTATATCTCTAAATGCTTACATAAATAAAATAGAAAAAGAGGAGATTAATGAATTGGGCATACAACTAAAAAAACTAGAAAAAGAACAAATTAAAAATCCTCAACTAAACCCCAAATTAGAAATATTGAAAACCAAAGGAAAAATTAATAAAATTGAAATTAAGAAAACTATTGAACTAATAAATAAAACTAAGAGCTGGTTTTATAAAAAAACCAATAAAATAGATAAACCTTTGGTTAATTTAATTTAAAAAAAAAGAAGAAAACCAAATTACTAGTATCAAGAATGAAAAGGGTGAAGCACCACCAAGGAAGAGGAAATTAAAACAATAATTAGGAATTATTTTGCCCAACTATATGCCAACAAATTTGACAATCTTAGTGAAATGGATACATATTTACAAAAATATAAATTGCCCAGATTAACAGAAGAGGAAGTAAAATACTTAAATAACCCCATCTCAGAAAAAGAAATTGAACAAGCCATTGATGAACTCCCTAGGAAAAAATCTCCAGGGCCAGATGGATTTACATGAATTCTATCAAACATTTAAAGAACAATTAATTCCAATACTATATAGACTATTTGGGAAAATAGAAGAAGGAGTCTTACCAAATTCTTTTTATGATACAAATATGGTGCTGATACCTAAACCAGGAAGAGTCAAAAGAGAAAGAAAATTATAGACCAATTTCTCTAATGAATATAGATGCAAAAATTTTAAAAAAATATTAGCAAATAGATTACAGCAACTTATCACAAGAATAATACACTATGACCAGGTAGGATTTATACCAGGAATGCAGGGTTGGTTCAATATTAGGAAAACTATCAGCAATTGATCATATCAAAAAAACACAGAAACCACATGATCATCTCAATAGATGCAGAAAAAGCTTTTGACAACACCCATTCCTATTAAAAACACTAGAAAGCATAGGTATAAATGGAGTCTTCCTTAAAATAATAAATAGCATCTATCTAAAACCTTCAGCAAGCATATGTAATGGGGACAGCTAGAAGCATTTCCAATAAGATCGGGGGTGAAACAAGGATGTCCATTATCACCACTGTTATTCAATATTGTACTGGAAACTTAGCTTTAGCAATAAGAGAAGAAAAAGAAATTGAAGGTATTAGAATAGGCAAAGAAGAAACAAAGCTATCACTCTTTGCAGATGACATGATGATATACTTAGAGAATCCTAGAGAATCAAGTAAAAAACTACTTGAAATAATAAACAACTTTAGCAAAGTTGCAGGCTATAAAATAAACCCACATAAATCATCAGCATTTCTATATATTACCAACAAAGCCCAACAGCAAGAGATAGAAAGAGAAATCCATTTAAACTTACTGTAGACATTATAAAATATTTAGGAGTCTACCTCCTGAAACAAACCCAGGAACTCTATGAACACAATTACAAAACACTTTTCACACAAATAAAATCAGATCTAAATAATTGGAAAAACATCAGTTGCTCATGGGTAGGCCGAGCTAATATAATAAAAATGACAATCCTACCTAAGCTAATTTACTTATTCAGTGCCATACCAATCAAACTACCAAAAATTATTTTATAGAGTTAGAAAAAATAATAAGATTCATTTGGAAAACAAAAGGTCCAGAATATCAAAGGAACTAATGAAAAGAAATGCAGGGGAAGGTGGCCTAGCAATTCCAGATCTTAAATTGTATTATAAAGCAGCAATCATGAAAACTGCTTGGTACTGGCTAAGAAATAGGGAGGTGGATCAGTGGAATAGGTTAAATATGCAAGACACAGTAGTCAATGACTATAGTAATCTATTATTTGATAAACCCAAAGACCCCAGCTTCTGGGATAAGAACCCACTCTTTGAAAAAAACTGCTGGGAAAACTGGAAAAGAGTATGGCAGAAACTAGGCATAGACCCAAATCTCACACCATATACCAAAATAAAGTCAAAATGGGTTCATGACTTAGATATAAAGGCTGATACCATAAGTAAACTGGGAGAACAAGGAATAGTTTACCTATCAGATCTATGGAGAACAGAAGAATTCATGACCAAACAGGAGATAGAGAACATTATGAAAAGCAAAATGGATAATTTTGATTACATTAAATTGAAAAGTTTTTGCACAAACAAAGCCAATGCAACTAAGATTAGAAGGAAGGTAGAAAATTGGGAAAGAATTTTTACAACCAGTCTCTCTGATAAAGGCCTCATTTCTAAAATATATAGAGAATTAAGACAAATTTATAAGAACACAAGCCATTCCCCAATTGATAAATGGTCAAAGGATATGAACAGACAGTTCTCA